GGGTTAGTGTAGTTAACACAGATATAAGAATGTGTTCAGACTTTACCGAATGCTTGTAGGATGCTGCACGTACTGATCATACTTAGAACCTCTGTAGCCCATGGTATTACATTGAAAGTTTGCATTGTAAACCTCTAACCGTGTAACTCACCAAACAGAAACGGCATTAAGGTAGCATGCTCATCCTGCACACCAGATGGCCCGCTGAAGGTAAATGAGGCATTGTGTAGCATCAAAGTCACAGACCTTGTTGATTGCATTCCTCTCTCCCTGCAGGAAGAGGCGGCCTGCGTGTGAACTCATGCCATCAGCTTGGATTCTGTGGTGAAGGGGATAAAAATCCCTGACAAGGAGAAACTGGATCTTTTATGTTCTCTGGGCTCTGAGGGGCAAAGATTCCTACACATAAGCAAGAGATCCCCACGCTGCTTGGACTGGTCAGCCCTAAAGAACACAGATGATTACTACAGAAGCTTATATTACCTTTTTAAATCTATGACTAACTCGTGTGTGTGTGTTTCCTGTTTTAACCTGGTAAATAACTCCATTTCTTTTCTTAGTTAATAAATCTTTAGTTAATTACAGGATTGGCTACAGGCATCGTCTTTGGTTTGAGATCGGAGTACAGCTGACCTGGGGTAAGTGACTGGTCCTTTGGGACTGGGAGTAATGTCATTTTACACTAATAATCACAACAATATTCGTCTATCACCTAATCCATCCTGCCTGGGTGACAAGAGACTGGAATGCCCATGGGGACAGTCTGTGGCTCCATGGTAAGGCTGTAATAGTGCTTTAGGAGTTCAGACTTGTTCCTGGGTTGGTGAAATCTAATTATAGAACGCATCACCAGTTGGGGTGTCTGCCCTGCTTTCTGACAGTCTGCCCTGAGTGAGGTTGGCACTCAGTGAGCCACTCCACACAGCATGACAGGGATATCTGACAGATAACAGGGAACTTGGAACCATATTGAAGAAGAATGTTCAAAGTGACCTTCCCTAAGATCATTCCTTCCTACAAGTGGAGGAGGATAGAAGGCAGAAAACTTTGGAAGTGAACTGCTGGCTAGGTTAGTGGTGTAGGGTGGAAGGCTTTGATTTTGTGGAACATTGGTTCAGCTTCTACTGCAATGAAGGCCTCCTCTTCTCTTAGAAGATGGACTAATCTCCTTAGGGACAAGCTGGTTAGCCAGGAGGGCGTTAAACTAGGAGCAAAAGGGGAAGGTAAAAAGAGGTAAGAAATGGGCACTCATTTAGCACAAAGTTGAGATGTGGGGGAAAAAATTAATTAAGGAACCAAAGAACACGCAGAAAAAAAAATGAATTGCCTATACAACAATGCTAACAAACAAAGGGACTTCAAAGTGCTCTTTAAGAGCATACATTTGATCTAGTTGGTATTACTAAAATCTGGTGGGCTTATTTGCCTGATTGGAATGTTAAAATCAATGATTATAACTTATGTAGGAAGGATTGAGTAAGCAAAAAGAGTGGGTGGGGAAGAGGCACTGTCCAAAATGGCACCGTTTCCGAGCCACTGATAACTCAGAAGGAAGTGATCTTGAATGCTTACAAATAAAGTACTAGCTCAGAGGTGGGCAAACTATGGCCTGCGGGACCATCCTGCCCGGCCCTTGAGCTCCCTAGCCCCCGCCCCCTCCGCCACGCCACCGTGGCTCTGGGCAGCGCTCTGGGTGGTGGGGTTTGCGCGCTCCTGCCGAACAGAGCGGCAGCATGTCTGGCTCCCGCCAGGCAGCGCAGCTGCATGTCTGGCTCCCGCCAGGCAGCGCAGCTGCCAGACATGCTGTTCTATGTGGCATGGGTAAGGGGGCCGGGGGGTCCCAGGGGGCAGTCAGAGGACAGGGGGCAGTTGGATGGGGCGGAGATTCTGGGGGTCGGGATGGGGGACGGGGAGGGGATTGGATAAGCGTGGGAGTCCCAGGGGGCCTGTTAGGGGGCAGGGGTGTGGATAGGGGTCAGGGAACAGGGGTGGTTGAATAGGCATGGGGTACCGAGGGGCCTGTCAAGGGGCAGGGGTATGGATAGGGGTCAGAGCAGTCAGGGGACTGGGAGGAGGGGGGTTAGATAAGGGGTGGGGTTCCGGGGGGCAGTTAGGGGTGGGGGTTCCCAGGAGGGGGCGGTCAGGGGACAAGGAGCGGGGGGGGGGTTGGATGGGTCAGAGGTTCTGAGGGGGACGATCAGGTGGTGGGAAGTGGGAGGGGACGGATAGGGAGCGGGGGCCAGGCTGCTTGGGGAGGCACAGCCTTCCCTACGCGGCCCTCCATACAGTTTTGCAACGTGGCCATCGGGCCAAAAAGTTTGCCCACCCCTGTACTAGCTGGTGTCTGCTACAGACACTAAAATCACACGAGAACAGGATTTACACACCTCTCTGTAATGGGTAGGGGAAGAAAAGCCGCTTGATCCTGAGGGATTTCAAATTGAGTGCCATATACTGGAGGGCTCACGCTGCTAATACTTGGAGTACATCCTTGACATTTCTAAACATTCGAGATGACAATTTTCTAACAAACTGTTGCATCCAACACAAGGGAATTCTATATTAGATCTCGTCCTTACAGATGGAGAAGAACTGATCACAGAACTAAAAATTAATGGTAGTTTAAGTATAAGTGATCATGACTTGATCACATTTGTAATGTGCAAACAGAAAAGAGTCCAGACCTGTAATATATATATACACTTGGTGCTTTAAAACAGGGCTTTGGAGCTGTGGTCCAACTCCGCCCCAGCTAAAAACCTGCAGCTCCACTGCTCCGGAGCTGCTCCGCTCCAAAGCCCTGCTTTAAAAGGGCCAATTTCACAAAGCCAAATCAGCTGGGAGGAGGGTTTTAAAGAACAAAAAAATTCCTAACAATGGTATTGATCCATTACTACATGGAAATAGAAGAATTATCAGCAATGATGCAGGAAAGGCAGAAGTGTTAACTAAATATTTCTGTTCAGTATTTGAGAAAGACACAGATGTAGTCTCATTCCACTAGTATCACAGGAGGATGTTCAACAGCAACTACTAAAGTTAGAGATTTTTACATCAGCAGGTCCATCCAAGAGTTTTAAAAGAGCTATTTGAGCAGCTTGCTGGACTGCTGATGTTGATTTTCAATAAGTCTTAGAACACTGGGGAAGTTCCAGAAGACTGGAAAAAAGCGAATGTTGTGCCAATATTTCAAAAGGGTAAATTGGAAGACTCAGGTAATTATAGGCCTGTCAGTCTCTAATTGATCCCAGGCAAGATAATGGAGTGGCTGATATGGGACTCAATTAATAAAAATTAAAGGAGGGTAATATAATTAATGTCAATCAACATGGGTTTATGGAAAATAGATCCTGTCACACAAACTTGGGGTTTTTTTTGACGAGATTACAAGTTTAACTGAAATGTGATAGTGTTGACATCATAAGTTTAGACTTCTGTAAGGTATTTGACTTGTTACTGCACATTTTGACTAAAAAACTAGAACAGCAAATTACCACCACACACATTAAGCAGATTAAAAGCTGGCTAACAGATAGGTTTCAAAATGGTAAAACGGGCAATCATCAAACAGGTGTTTTTCTAATGGGATCCCACAATGGTTAATTCTTGGGCTATGCTATTTAACATTTTTATCAATTACCTAGAAGAAAACAAACTTACCACTGATAAAGTCATCAGATGACAAATTGGGGGCGTGGTAAATAATTAAGAGTACAGGTCACTGATTCAGAGCCATCTGGATCATTTGGTAAGCCAGATGCAAGCAAACTATACATTTTAATACAGCTAAATATAAACATACATATCTAAGAACAAAGAATATAGGCCAGATTTACATGATGGGGGCTCTATCCTGGGAAGGAGTGAGACTGACCCAAAGAGGCTAATGGGATCCCAAGATGAGTAAACAGGGAATCTTGAGGAGTAGTAGGGAGGTTATTTTATCTCTGTGTTTGGCACAGGTGCAACCCCCTGCTGGAAAACTGTCCAGTTCTGGTAGCCAGAAATCAACGATGTTGGTAAACTGGAGAAGGTTCAGAGAAGATCCACAAGAATGATTACAGGATTAGAAAACCTGTCTTATAGTGATATTCAATGGCTGGAAGTGGAAGCTTGGCAAATTCAGACTGGATACATGGTCTACATTTTTAACAGTGAGGGTAATTAACTATTGGAACAACTTACTCAGGGTCATGGCAGATTCTCCCTCACTGGCGATTTTTAAATCGTGATTGGATGTTTTTCTTAAAAGCTCTGATCTAGGAGTGATTTGGGGGAAGTTCTCTGGCACAGGAGGTCAGACAATCACAATGGTCTTTTGGGGCCTTCAAATCTATGAACTGCAAACAGGATGCACCTTTCTCTGGGGACAGTGACGTGAAGCAATGGGGATAGAAAGCTGCTAGGACCAGTTTAGTGAGCACAGCACTTTCTTGCTGGGGATCAGATTGACAGCACTGCTGCCAGTTCCATCAGCTGGTGAGAGCACCAGGACACATGCTAGTGGAAGCTTTTAATGGCAGGGAGAACCCAGTGAACCCTCAAATACCAGCAGGGGAAATATCTGTCCCTGTTCCAGAGCATACTCACTGCAGGCTTTGCTAGGTCCTCTCCTTATAGCATTTACCCTTGCCTTCAAGTCTCTCCACAACTCTGCACCATCCAACTTGTCCTCTCCTGTTACACCCCCCTTCCACCAACACCAGCTTGCTAGCTTCTCCCACAATCCTCTCCATGCCGCCTTTCTCCATCTTACACCTTATTCAGGGATCTAATCCATGAAAACACTTTTTCAAACCCCTCCTGCAGACCTCTCTCTGCTGGGACACCTATAAGCAATCAGCCAGTTAACGATGGCCAGCTGGGCTAAATGACTCTTACATTGACTGTTCATAACAAATCTGCTTTGCCTGTCCCTACAATTTCCCTTTTCTTGAACTGTAACTCTTCAGGGCAGGGGCTGTCTCACTATGCCAAAGGAAGAGACACAGGCTTTCATATGCACATGATATGTCCAACTTTAATGTTCTTGGCCCCCATCGGGGGACACCTAGTGAAGTATCAGCAACAGCTGCATTTTCCTTTTACAAGTCCGCATTCTAAGGCACATTCTTAGAGCACATGGGTTAATACAGTGATTTGTCTCAGTATATTCCACCTCTGAATCAGACCCAGCCATCTACCAAGCGTATATGCAATTCATAGTGGTGCCTACTTCGGTGGAAGAAGCTGGCCCCTCTTCCACCCTAAGTGTGCCAGGAGCAGTGCACATGTCTGGCATAGTTGCGCAGGTTTATTCCTACTCCATTTGAAGATGGTAACATTAAATGAATTAGGAACAAAAATGTTCTTTGCAGGATCCTCCCAGGCACCAGTGTGAAAGATCCTCTCTGCATGGTACCAGAGCCATGGTACAGCCCAGCAGCAGAGCTCACAACAGTGCATGGAGTCTGCGTGCAGGGGAAGACCCAAGACCCCCAGATACTGGGCATTCCGCAGACATAAAAGAAGTGCCAACTCAAAGGGCCCTGAGCAGGACTGCATGAGGAGCCCGTAAGTCTTTGCACTGGCGATCAGAGGGAGGAGCAACCTACTTCTCCATCACATTTCCATGGTATTCCTCCTCCTCTGACTTGGCCTCTTCCAGATGCTATGACTGGAAGAGTTGTCAAATTTGAAGGCCAAATCCTAATCAGACTTGGCCTGAAATACAACAGTGTCAAGTCCACACTGCAGTCCAGATGCAGCTAGAGCAGCCTCAGTTGAGAAGGAGCATTAATAGAAGTAGGACTGGAAGTCCCAGCACTCCAAACCTCTCTCACTGCATGGAATCTAATCCAGGCCTCTATCCCAGACTCCTAGCACCTCCTTATAAGATGACAATGCTGGGACCTAGAACTCCCCCCTCCCGCCCCCCCAGCCTGACAGGAGGATTAGACTCAGTGCCTAATATCAAACAAGCGAAGTAGTCCTTTTAACTCACAACACTCCTTGCGGCAGAACACACACCCATGGGGCAAACATTCCTCTGATCATACAGAAAACATCTCTGGATTCTGTGGTTGTTTCGGGGATCTGTTCTATGCATTTCCCTATTTACAGGAAAATGAAAATTTCCTGCAGTGAGAGGCAGAGTGCTGGGATTCAGTGCTCAAGGCTATGAGCTAAGCACAGTGGATCCAATGCAAATGAGAAAGTAAGAAAGTGAAATCCTTGGCACACCAACAGCTACCTTGTGATATCCATTTTCGGCTATGGATTTCATTCACTCCATACTGCGTGGCAAAGTCAAGTGAAACACAAGTAAAACCCTCACCTGCAGAGGGAAGGTGATCACTTCCACCGCAACATTCTCAGTCTTAAACCACCTCAACATTTCGTTACATATAAATATAATATCCCTATTTGTCTGAACACCTCTTACACACAGGACACATGGATCAGGACACAATGAAGTTCAGTACCCAGAATGCTACGCTTCCAAGTTATGAAGCCCTCTGGGAAGATAGGTTGGAGCCAAGTACATCAGCCCTAGACAGGGCAGGCTCCCCACAGCTTAAACATAGAGCAGTATTTATGGAAGACCCTAAGAAGTGGGGAGAGACCAGAACCCTTCTCTACTTGTAGATCCAGGCAGGTGGCCTCACACCACAAGACAGAATATTTGCTACCACCATCCTGAGCTGTTCTAATGAATCCAAAAACCTTTGGTGCCAAGCGTACTAGAAGTCAGGCAGGTGTCCAAGAGAGGCAGGGGAACCAATAACAAAGGCAGCAAGCCCAGCTCAGTGAGGTGGTAAGAGCAACGAGCTGCCTATACATTGTGGAGATAGCATCTGTCAGTTCTTGATAACGCAAGACCCATACCAAACTACTCTTCAGCACCAGTAAGAATACAATCTACTCATTCATAAAGTGCAAAAAATAGGGAGGACCCAATCTTTGCCTAGTTAGGCTCACCCTACAATCTGATTTTTGGCCTGCTCTCCACTAGGAATTTACATCAGTATAGCTACCTCTCAGGGCTGCGAAAACCCCACACCCCTGAGACATAGTTATACCAATTTAACCCCAGTGTAGGCAGTGCTAGGTTGACAAGAATTATTTCATCAGCCTAGCTAATGCCTCTCGGGGAGGCAGATTACTACACCGATGGGAGAATCCCTCCTGTCAGTGTATGTAGTATCTACACTGAAGCGCTAAAATAGCACAGCTGTGTCACTTTAGCATTTTAAGTGTAGACATACCTGAAGCGAGCAGGTCCAGAGGACTCCCTTTGGACGAGACTGCAGGATTTGAGCCTCAAAGGTGAAGTGAAATGCATTTTATACCCATTAGGACTAGAGTTCAGGGAAGAGAATTCTATTAACACCTGTAAAAAGCAACAGAGGGTCCTGTGGCACCTTTGAGACTAACAGTTAGTCTC